GTCATAAAAACAAAGACTTTATTGCTGATCTATTTCTTAGAAATCTTATATACAACTTCTGTGGGCAATAAAAACATTTTGGAAAATGAAAATTTAATGTTGTAAGTTGATATGAATTGCCTATATCAATATTTAATACGGTTTATAGCGCCAGGATTTAAGTGTGTAACTTTGTAAAATTTCCCCAGTGTCTACTTTATAAGCTGTTTTCTATTTCTTGAAAAGTATTTTATGATATCATTATTTTAATACCATCATAAAATGGCGGGATAGTAAATGATAGTAAGCCCTTTTAAGAATGAGCAGTTAATAAACATTTAGATGTTCCCTTTTTGCCATTAGAACACAATCTATTTTATTTTCAAAGTGTTAAGATAAACAAAGATAATACAGCATTTACTACTGAAATCAAAATAATAATTCCTTTTATGTTTATATATATGTACTGTGATATGCGAAAACGTCTAATTAAATGTCCATGTATGTTGTTCTCATTCTTTTGGTTTTTAAATTAATCCCAATAAATGGTATAAGAATGATTTATAAAAATGTATATTTCTATAGATATTGTTTATCAATTCCCCATAGAATATCATTTCTTTAAATTAATTTTATATATCAGTTTTATTGGCAATATAATTGTTTTATAATTTTATATCAATATCAAAAGTTTCCTTATCTTGGACGTAATTCGTCAGTAGCAAAACAATGTAAAGCACAAGCTAAGTACGTTTTTTGTAAAAAAAAAAGAAGCTTCGAAAAGAGAAAATCGTAAATTACTGCAACAGTAAAGAATGACGTCAAAGCATTAGTCAAAGTATAGTTGTCAAAAATGTATAAATATACTCGATTTTCTCAAGTATTATACTGATGTTTAATGTGTGCGTAATAAGGGGCTAATATATTTTTTTCGCAGATGTTCCTTTTAGTATCACAACTTTAAAAAAATTTTAGTAATTAAATAATTATACAGATGACGCAAGCGTGACAAACCACTAGGATGAAAACATCTTATCTAGTTGTCGAAATTGTATTACTATATCCATTAGGAAATGAAATTGTATTACAGATATGCGTAACAAAATAAACGAATAAATGGTACTTCAACGCCTCTGAAGATAATATAGTTTTCGTTATATGTGGTTTTCATGGTTTTCAAGAAATTTGATTTTCAAGAAAAACGATTTCTTTTCTCTATAAATAAAGAAGGACAAAAATCAAATGTTAAGGTAAAATTTGATTTCATTTTTCATATATATTTGTAAAAAATATAAAAAGTGAACTGTTATGAAATATTAACATCTTATCTATAAATAATGGTTTGTTTTCTCTTTTAATGTAATGTGTTTGCCGGTGTTAAAACGCCAAAAGTAAATTATATTTCTTCTCTTACTTGTTCAGTTGTCATTTCAAAGAAAGCATGTTGCTTCTTTTGATCAAAAGACATGCCTTTTTTATATCATTTAACATTTACGTGACATACATGAACTTGTAATTGATTTATAATTTTATTTTAATGAATGGTTTAATTTGTCTTCATAAGTGAACATGTATATTGCATGTTATTTCGAAGATACATGGTTAAAATAATTAAGCAAACATAAATGTCACCATGGAGTGCCAGTTATGTCATATTCAAGTTACTTTCTAAAATAACTAAAGCGTTATATCATGGCATTTTGATACATGAGAAAATAGATTCACTCATTCAATTCAATAATTGCTTATATTTTGAGTTTAATTGAGGAGTCAATTTAACACCGGATAGTGTCAAAGACAATGTCGTATTTTTAAGCAAGTGAAGTAAATAAACATGTTACTTTTATTTTATCAAACACACCTTCTAGGAGTATAGACAGTATATTGTTTTAATTAAATCAAAATATAAAATGAGCAAATACTAATGTTTTGAGTGTTGTCGTGAACATAATTTCTGTACGTGGGCGGTTTCAATGATACCCCCTTCAGCACCGGTTTCACCTATAACAGTCAACGATTCTTAACAGTTTCTGGAAAAAAATATGTATACATGTAAAAATTTCAATGATGTTCGAATATATTTTTTCTTATAAATCTGACAGAATTTGGCAAGATCTTTAGAACTACTGAATGATTTGGACTCATGTTTAGTCATATGTCCATATATGTCTAAATATTGGCAGGCTTTTGGGATGAATGTAGAAACTCTACTTCTGAAATTGTGTCGAGGGCAATATCGGTCAACGTGACACGAGTGATAAAGTAGACCAAATGTACTTTATAAAATCTAAAAAAGTGGTGATCCTTCGACAACAATAAAAACTAAATTTAAAAGTGAAAAAATTGCAGCCTCGGTTTGATTTAGTCTATTCCTGAGAGTAAATGGAAAAGCAATATCTCTCACCCCTCTCCCCGGCACCGGCTTAAATATTAATGAAAATGGTAAAAGGCTAGTTTTTTATCTTGTTTCTAATATTGTTTTACTAAGCAAATGTTTTGGATTTTTAAGTAAAATAAAAGGAAAAGAAAACGTTTTACTATATGTTACGAAACATTAAATTTTGTAATATAATACGTTCCAAACTGAATTATAGATATTTCAAATTTACACTTTTACCCATTGTTTGATACCTAGTGTTGGAATTAGTTCAATAGTTTTAGAGAAGCAAGAACTTAGAACTGCATAACAGTTGATTCCTCAACCTAATAAATGAAATACTGTAGTGAGGAAAACACCAATAAATTGCTTTATTTCGTGTAACGCAATCGGATTGTAGAGGAATGATTCTTAAAGCGGTTTTTGCTTCCCTGGTTCAAGAAGTAAAAAATTTAGAAATATGTCATTTAAAAATAGAGTCTACCTAAATCTGTCATATTTCTTGCTGACAATAATAATAATAATAATAATAATGATGATGATAATAATAATAATAATAACTTATGCCAAATTTCCTACAGGAACCGAGAAAGCAATGCGTATAAAAAATAATAGGTTGTTTGCCCTTAAAATATCATATGTGATCAGATTAAAATATTTAATTGAATACGAGATTTTATATAAATTGTCTTAATTTGAATTGTTTGTTCTATGTTTTGCATGTAAAGAAAAAATGTACTTCCAGGAAATTAGAGACAGTCAATTCTAGCTCAATTCCTGGAGAAACTACATATCAAATCACATATTTGTTGATTTGCAACAAATAATTCAGTCATACCAATTCTAACGATAAGTAGACACTTATCAGAACCTTTTGATTTTTCTCTGTGTAGAAATGTTTTATAAATTCAATCTCTCTTTGTATATGCTTTAATGTATTATACGCACACACGTTTTATCCTTGAGAATACTTTTTATCGTCAGGATTTGGTACTTAATGACCATTAATCAATGATCCTATCATGATACGATTAATGCTAAATTCCCACTGGAATTGGTCTTCTAAATATGTAAACTGTTATTAAGTATATGTTTTAGTTAAAAACATTTTATCACGTGCAAAAAGCAATTAATATTACGATGGTTTTTAGTCATTCGTTTATAAATACATATTATGATAACGATTATGAATGGAAACAAGAACAACAGACACATTAGGTTTTGTGATAAACCTGTCTGGTATAAAAGAGAACTAGATTGTAAAGGTGATCACAGGAATGTCATTTCATAACAATCTGAATCTTCTTTCATTATTGTAAAGTTGTACTGAACAACTTAAAAAATATTCAACAGATGAAGTACAAAAGTCGTGTTTAGACATCTTCAATTAGATGACGGAGGTGTATTTGCCAAAGTATTATTTTTCAAATGGAATCGGGAAATCGGTGATATTTGTTTGTCCATAATGAAAAGGAAACACTTAACCTATTTGACATTTATTGTCTGTAAACATAATTCAGTGATTGCTATTAAGTTTAGCTGTAAGTGTACCGCATGTTTTTGTATTTCTAAATGATTAAAGGTGCTGCTAGCGTCATTAAAATGATCAGAAAACTGAACATTTTTAATTACAAACGAGTATCTAAACTATTGTCAAAAGAAAATAATTCTTGCCTACGCTGTTTTCCCAACTGTGACTTTTCCCACGAGGCTTTCATGTAAAGTGTTCTGAATTAAATAAAAGAGCTATATTATGTTCTAACATTATAGCTGAATCACTCTATTATCTAGTGTTTACTTAAACTTTACGACATTATATTCCATCTAAAATTACCGCATTAATAATTTAAATATAGCAATTAAAAGCCTGCTAGTAAAATGTAGTTGTTTTATTGTTATTTCTGTTCCGTTTCACTCGATGTCAATGTAGCGGTCAATAGTCAATTATAATAATCGAACGTTTTAAGATATGCTTTAATTGCTAAAATGATTATTTCATTATAATTTACATTGTTGTCAGCAGTTGGGGGTGAGAAACATCTTTAAAGTGTACCTCAATTATTTAAATATGTACTAGAATAATCAAAGTACAAAAATGTTATTTGAGTACTTTAACAGCGGGTAATTCGCGCCTGGTTGTGTTTACTGTTTTAATTAAGCAAACAGTCCTGTCCTGACATCCAAGAATAATGTTTGTACATCTATAAATGCTATTATGTTACGTACGAGTATAGATACTTTTGAACACGTTCTGTACATTTTGTACAACAGGCTCAACAGCAAAACGGCGTAACAATATTGTACAGGGTTTGGACCCTTAGAAGACATCAAGTTATTGCAAAGATTGTCATTTATTTAAATATGTTTCCGATATTTAATAGGAAATGTCATTTGTGTTAGATAATATAGGATATTCTTTTCAGGAAATGTCATTTATCAAGAAATATATCAGATTTTTTTCAGGGGATATCATGTGTCAAGAAGTCAACTTTTTTTCAAAGGAAAGTTATATGCCAAGAACTATATGTCAGATGTTTTAAGAAATGGCATGTTCAGAAGTATATCTGAAATTTGCTGTCATTTTCGAGATATCATGAATTTATTGTAAAATTAAAACTTATAAATTATGTTTTGATATTTACAGGGTTTTTCATTAGGATATGGCGCGGAGTCTGATGAACCGGTATTTTGCATGACATATAAATGTGTAACAGTATATATCTTTCCCATGTAAAATCTCTAAACTTTTCCAGACATAATACATTTACAATTTTCAGCATATGCCTTATCTTTCACATGAATGTATGTTTACTGTAAACGACATTGTATTAAATTGTCTTATTGTAAAGACATTACATCCATCTATGTTATTGTAAAATACATAACATCTATATTTGTTATTGTACAAGACATTGCAGCAATTTGTGTCATTGATGAAGCTATTATAGCAATGTTAGCTCTTGTCAACGATTTTAAAACAATGTTTGTTCTCAACAAGACATGTTATATATCCTTGACTTGTATACAGCTATAAAAACTGCCTGTAAAATGTGTTGCCTTTGTGTTTGTGTTAAATATATATGTGTTTGTTTGTTTGTTTGTATTCAAGTATTGTAAAATGTCTGGTATGTCAAATATACCTCATTATCATGGTTAATATACGAACTTGCCAATATATTCTTAGATCACTTATTTCTGGAAAAAAACATATGTTTTATATGTTTCGTTCACAGAAAAATTTTGATTTACCTTTTTTCTCTCTATGATTAAATGTAATAAAATGCATGGTACCTTTATATTTGACATATAAACACCTTGAAAATAAAATAATAAACCATAAATATGTCTGTCTTCTTTCAATCCTTATGGTAAAACAAAGCATTGAAAGTGCCAACTAAAGAAAAGTTTGCGGCATAAATGCCACAACGTACCCCTCTGTTTCATTTGATGCACGCTTTTGAATATTGTTCTTTTATTGTTTAAAGTGTTGTTTTCTTTTATTTGTTTATCATTTGATTTTAACAACATAAGTTATTTTGAAAATAAGATTCAATAAACATATTCCAAAGTTTAATTTATTGGTAGCAGTAGATTTTCAATTGGGTGATTAAACAATCATCGTTTCTACAGTTAATTTTCTTATATATCATTTTGAATTAATTATGCTTTTTACTGTATATTTTAATTTAGTGTTAAATTTAAAGTAGAATAGAATTTTTATGTTTTTATTTAATATGAGTTTAAATGTTTTGTTTATTATAATTTTGATTTGCTATGTTTTGAACTAATGCCACTTCAGGGGACCGAATGGGAAGATTCACCTGACGAAGATAAAAGAGCGTTGTCGGTGCGTACATTTTTCTCGAGAAAATGATATACATGTATATTGTAATATATACCAATGAATGAAAAAAAAAAACAATATATCGATATATTCTAATATATTTATAATATACATATTGAATTGCATGCTACATATATAACTCTAATACTTTATTGTATTACATACGGGTTACGTAAGCTGGTATTTTATAATTAATAACAAAATGTATTATCGAGTTTAACAAATTAAAGTTGATCGTGAACACACCCAGTCGAATGGGTCCATGTGATATTTAAACAGATAATATATTAATAAAACACTAATATTAAATGACATACAAACAAATTTGGTAAATTAAAGAAATCTTAAACATAGAGAACGTTTTGTTTAAGTACTTGAAAAAGTAGGCTTTTGAAAGGAATATGTGGCAACGTTACATATATAAGTATAAACTATTATCATACTAATTAAATTATACAAATACTGCATTGATCAATGGCAGGATATCAAAAAGACGTTAAAGATAAAATGAAAATGAAATCTTAAACATTAAATTATTGTATTTGATATATGTAAGTAATAAAGTACTTGTAGTGATAGTAATAATAATAATAATGAAAAAAAAATACTTAACCAATCTATATGTCTGAATGATTGTACCAATGGTTGTAATGGTATTAAATGATTTTTATTATGTCCAATTTTTTAAAGGATTTTTATCAAGCGCTTTATCCACTACATAAAAGACGACGACCTTCATTTAATCAGGTTCGAGAAATTTGCATTTATTCAATCCCAGAATTCGTTGAATTATTCATTTAGAGTATCAAACCTTAGACATATTAACAGTTTCATCTTGTAGTAATAAAGTTATTATTGAAAGTCAGACACATCCCTATTAAAAACAAAACATTTTGGACTAGTTTTTAAGGAAATGATAATTAAATGAAATGATTACAAATATTTGATAGTCAGTATATAACATTTTAATTCTATAAAAGCTTCTTGGAATTATCATATTTTAACAAACATTATGTTAAAAGTCAACCTTTGGTTTCTACTTAGAGAAATTTTGCCGCACCAAGAGGAAAACGCCAGGATATTATGGTACACCAATTTTTTGAACATTATGATCTTTTTAATACACATTTGTAAAGATTGATGCCTGATATTATAAGAACTGTAGCTTATGATTTTAAATAATTAGACATTTCTTTTAGATACATTTAAAAAGTTTTGATAAGTACTCATTATCACAATAGCTTTCTTTTCAAAATTAATAAACTTATTTCTATTAAATTTTCGTTAAAAATAATTTCACAAATTTATAAGTCAACTACAACCGAAGATGAATACATATTCAGAGCTCCGAGACCCGGGAAAAGATTCGGTAACATTTTCATATTTCAAACATGTTTTTACCCCTGCTTTACTTATGTAAATTGCAAAGCGTCCTAGTAAACTGTGCGTCTGAATTATTTCGTACATTAAACCTGGCATTACCAATGACATGTTTTTGCCCTTTTATGAGTGTTTATATCATCGTGCTTCAAAATAAGCTGATTTTTTCCTTTGTATATGATAAGTTTTTTTTATACCGTCTTCCCTTTATTATCACAAAGGAGTATTTTACGATTTACTTTTGATGACCTTAGTGAACAGTTCTTTATTTCAATATGAAAACATGTCTAAGTACAATAAGACTAAACATAAACGATGATCAAAATGTACAAAACACTTATTGGTTTATTTATCAACTTATTTATCACTCTTTATTCTGTATTCCACAAAATAGCAAAATCATACAAATTGCTATATGATGCTATTGTTTTCGAATATATACCAATTCAGACATTTGACGTTTTGGTTGTTTTTTTGTGTCGTTATCTAAGCCATGTCACCATTAGTCAAAATGACAAATTGCTATTTTATCTAATCGGAAGGTAACACATTTACCACCATGTTACAGAGATAAACAATTGTTATAGCCCTCATACTTTTGTCATCGTTTAGAATTTCAACTCATTTGTGACTTTAATCAATTTGGCAATTGGCTTCACTCATTTTTAATGTTTGCAATTATTTTAAAATTGACAAGCAAAAACATGCGACTGCTGTCTGAAGTATACCTTTGTCGCGACAGTTAAACTAACGCATGTTTCCCTTTCCCGCAATTTCTGTTGTGATTTTACTGTCACTATCTCTCACATAACATGCCCAATTTACTCTCTCTTTCTCTCTTTTACAATTCATTTGCAGGGATTGAGTTCCTAGCGTATTACGGCTGCTAATTTGTAATTGTGTGATATCACGTCTCATTGTCCATTAAACATAATTGAATTTGCTACAGTTTGCTCTTATAACATGTTCAATAAAAGTAAATGTTTGATTTTGCTTCGAATGGAATAAACTTAATGGCTTACAGTTAATTTAGTTACACTTGAAGCATGAACGTAGAATGAATGGTTAATGTTTAAAAAAGAGAATTTGAATGAATGTTTTGAAAAGAGATTTTGTTGTTTGATCAAATTAGCTAAGCCTTGTAAAATTCAATGAGAATTAAGTCAGGTGAAACTATCGCTACATGTGATACATTTGTTAATTCCTTGTTTTTGCACCAGCTTTAATTTATTAAGTTCAAGATTATTACGTACTAGATAATGAACCGATGACCATATTTCAAAATGTGAATAAAACTCTCGACGATCTAAACACACTTAAATTCTGTTTTCTTAAATTTAATTTAAACAGTTTTTATTAACGAAATAATCAAAGCCCAATTAGGAGACATATACACCTGCAATGCTTTCCATGTGGGTATCGTTATTGCATTTCACGCAGAAAAACTCGCTATGTATAATTCCGTCAGTCAAAGTTCCCTAAAGTTGATTTTTGTAAAATATTGCACACAGAAATTATCATTCCATATAAATGGTATTTTATTTCTGCATTTATATCGACTGCTCTCATACACTCTTCTACCACGGCAATGTTTTGGACTTTTTGTTCGTATATATTGCATGCTGTTCTTTTAACTATTATGTATTATTTTGTAGACTCGTATAGTTTTGATACGTATTAGGTTTTTTATTATTTATTTAATTTATTTCGTTTTAGTTTAAATTCAAAATATAAAATACAACTGTAGTTCTAAAGGAACTTTAGATTGCTGAAACCTATTGCATTAAAAAGCATTTCGGCTTGCATAGTATGTTCTTTATTTGCTATTTAACGCATATGAGACACAGCTTCTTTTCTCGTTTTTACTCACTGCTTTATTTAATAATATTTAATAATAGAGTTTTATTTTAAATTTAGTTATTGTTTAAATGCACATTTAATTGTAGTTGTAGATTAAAGAATGTATATATTATTTTTATAGTTGACATTAGATTTATTTTGTTATTTTGTTTTTGCTTTTAGAACGCACGTAATCACATGTTTATGTTTATTTTCGTTTTGCAGTCTCTGCAGCCTGGTAGATCTTTGTCCATAGACGAGCATCTGGTATTAACTGCATGATGAATGTATACTAATCTGATGTAACTTTGTTATTTCTGTTACTAACTGCTCATAAGTTGTTTATCGCATGACACCAATATATAACAAGTGACTGTATGGGTAGATCGATGTCACTATACGCTCACTTTTAACTCACCAAAACATGAATTCGTAGAAGATCGAGGCGCATCATCAAACTATCAGACGCATTAAGAATTTTTACATGATTTTAATAGTGCATCATTTGTGCCTTAGATATATAAATATGTATCTCTTTTATTTTAAAAATAAGTCCATGTAAATAAACTTAAACAACGTGTTTTTACTGTCGTATGAAAGGAAATGACTTTTTAAATGTTCCGATAAGTTTATACATATGTCTTCAACTAAGACTGTCTGAAAAATGTGTGTAATGCCTTAAGATCAGATTAGCGTTTGAAATGGGTTTGAATGTTTCAAATACGTGTTCTCGATACATTTTTAATTTGATATTTTGTTTATCAATACTTAATGAGATCGGCAGTGACAATAAAATAAACAGCTTTATGCTAACATTCAATGTAATGTTAACTACAAAATCATAAATGAGATACATGTACGATGTTTGGTCATATGTTTACTTATTGAAATATTGTATTCTATATGTTCTTATTTCTAAATACATTAAACATTCATTGAATAAATTTCTTAATGTAGTGTCTGTCGTTATTCTCTTAAGTATTTTCGTATTGCATTTGTTATTCTTAAAATTTTATTTGAAAATATGTACTGCATAACATTATAACATAACATATATATATTTATATATATGATATGGATATATTTAAAACATAAAATGTTACTCCGGAATTAAGAATAGTTTAATGTTTACCGAGCTTATCCAACACTTTTACTGTTACAACTTCGAAAATGAGCGCAACAGTTCGACTGATCTATTGTGGACGGGTAGTGCACCGTGAAGATGTAACGGTAAAAGTTTGTTTGTACCGGGGGATTAGCTTGGAAAACCCCACATTTAACGAGTTCCGAATAACATATATTGCAGCCTTACTACATTTCATTTCACTCCTTTTAATTCACAGACTATTATATGTGAAACGTTTTTACCCTAAAATTGTTTATCAATTACAATTACGAGTAAATGTGCGTTATATGACCCAGACACATTTCAGAATTATCCTATAACAAGTCATTTTAATAGGTTTATTAGTAACCACATTGTTGTTAAACATAACAAATTATAGTTCTTTGTCGCACGATATGATGTGCATATTGACACGTTGGTTGTATGCCAATGAGAATTTTTATATTGAGCATGGTTGAGCTTCTGTAATTATAAGCTCCGGCAAGAGGGGACTTCATTTATGCTAAATGGTGTGTCAAATGCAAAAAATGTACGTATTATTTGCCCATCAAAAACATAACATTTCATGAAAATAGTTTGAATCCCTTGGTAATCCTCGTGCAAAATGTGAAAGCAATACCTATGTTAATCCTTATAAAAATACTGTTGTCTACATAATTATATGGAATATATCTATATCTTCTCTGTATCTACAAACTTCATGTAATCTTTTGTTGTTATTGTGTCGTTTGAATGATGATTAAAAATGTGCAAATTAATTTATTTGCCTTTGCCAAACTTGCTAAATAGATATGGTAAAAAAGCATATATAAAATATTAAGAATAAATATTCCGAAACAGAGGATATTTCTGTATGCTAAAAATCTCATAAAAGTTAAAATATAGAATAACCGAAACTTTAAATCTTCTATATAGCAAACTTTTCACAAATGTTCAGCGATACATTACCTTTAAATGTGTTTTCAAAAATTCAGATTTCTATAATTTATTCAATGATATTATTACATTATTCTCGGCGTGATTTTCTTCTTATCGAAATATTGAATTTACGAAGGTTCCAGGAGAGGACATCCTGTCAATAAATGGAGGAACAAGTCAAGATGTAAGTGTTTTTATATATAGTACGTTTGAAACACATAAAAGGTTCGCAATTCTTTTTCTGCCAATGGGTCAATGACCATTGGACAATATCTTATAATAGAGTAGCTGTTAATCAAACGTTGATATAAGTTGATTTACTTTATGCTTTCATTGCATGTTGAACGTCAATGACTTAAATATGACAATGTACACTAGAATATTTGTTGGTTCTAGTTCTTCTAAGAAATGTCTGATATATATTATAAACATTATCTGGCATCATTTGAGTAATCAGTTTTTCTTGAATTAAATAGGGGGTTGATAAAATTGCATATAGAATATTTCAAGCGATTATGGTAGATTCTGCTAAAGTAGAAATTTGAGATCTCGAAAGATATTACAAAATGCAAAAATATCATGATTTATTTATCTGTCTTTGACATAATGTCAAAACGTATTTTCAACTTTCTGACATCGATGACATTCAATAAATTCCCTGTAGCTTTAACATTGTCAAGTATTTAACTATTCAAAAATGAAAATTGTAAGAAAGATGATCCGAAAATATTCAGAGTAAAGTAAAACTGTATAATTTTGTTTCATTGTCAACTTGTAAATGGAGATTAAGATCAGCTCTGTATACAATTTATACAAATCTATGCAGAGGAAATTAAAAAAACAACAACAACAATTTTTCTAAGTAATTAACCTTTAAAACAAGCAAGATAATTATGTTGTTCTTTTTATATGTTTTGCAATAAAGAACTAGAATATATTCTTAATTCCACAACTACAAAAAATGCATGATTAATTATAATATTAACTGCTTTACCTTTCAGTCAACACATATTCGTCCGAAAAGAACCGGTGACCAGGTATATCGCTTTTACTTCTCACCTTCTTGATTATGTTTGTCTTAAAAGAGCTTGAATAGAAACCAATAAAAAATCGGGATAGATTATATTGATACTTGCACAGTTCGTCATAGCTAATTGTTATTATTAAAGTAATATTATTATCGTCCAATATTTTCATCAAAAGTGTTTTCTTTCAGGGATTTTTAAGAATAGGAAGATCACCATTTCTTAGAATCGGTAGGTCACCATTTCTAAGAATCGGCAGGTCACCATTTCTGAGAATCGGCAGGTCACCATTTCTTAGAATCGGGAGGTCCCCATTCCTCAGAATTGGAAGGTCCCAATACCAGCGTACCAGTAGGTCACCGTTTCTACGTATAGGAAGATCACCTTTTATACGATTGTTCCATGTAAGTTTAAGCATTAACATTAAAAAAATCATTTAAATTGGTGTAAATTCAATATATAAAATATTACTTTTCTAGATACTCTTCATAGAATAAGGGTACCTTAAGTTTCAATAGTTTTACAAATGAGTTTGCTTTGCTAATGAATCATAACAAAATATATAAACTATATATGATATATCAAAATATGCATGCTTACATTTTTGTGTAGGTACATTAAGATCGTCTTATAGCGGTTCCGAAAAAAAACCCTCAATTTTTCAATCCAAATAATAACAAGCTACATGTTTTCATTTCTTTTCAGAGTCCAAAGAACATGTTCGATAAGAGAGCAGATGCTCAGGTAATACTAATAAGCACTCTTGTAGAAATTGTCTTTACCGTGTGTTTTACCCTATTGTGTCATTCGGAACTTTCCTTTAAAACCTTTTACACATTTCACTACACTCTTTCATGACATTAATTGACATTAATAATTTTAATAATTTTTATTTTGTGTCTTATTCAATCACTTCATCCTAATTCTTAGATCACTAGAATGTGCAATTTGATTATATAATTATAAGCATTTACATCTCTTATACCTACCATATCAATACAAAGTTTTAAATCGACATGCGTGTTATTGGACTGATCAGAATACTCTGTTTTCCTTTTAGAAATCAATGTTTCATAGTCAAACTTTGTCGGTGAATTGCAAGTCCATTGTTTTATAATAAATATCATAAGAGTTGTTATTACTGAGAAAAAAATACTTGAGTAAATTGTAAGACGCAGAGTTTAATTAAATCTTAAGAAAAGATTAGGGCTCAGATTGAAATGATCATTTCCTCGAAGACACTGGGGAGCATTTAACGCAAATTAGCAGGAAGAATTTCTTGTGACAATTTGCAGAATGCCTTTTTTTGTAACAATCCAATATTCAAATGAACATTTGCAAATTTCCAATAAAAACAATTGTCATTTCATTCATTGGAATAAACTGTTTGCAAAAAAATTTTTTTTATTAAATAAGTTTTATACTTTTATGTCTGTAGAGTGAGTGTAAACATATTTAGAATTTTATCAAAAATGAAAATTAATTAAGATAGAAATAAAGTTACAAAGCATTATTTACTTGTATTTGAAAGCTGCATTTTTCGTCTGTTCTCTTTATCTATCTATATAATGAACTTGTATTTGTACCTGTTTCTTTCTTTATCTTAAGATAATCCTACCTGACCAATATCCTGAGGAGGATTCAGAATATAAGGTAGATTAAAAAAAATATATAATAACTAAATAAATGTTTGTAAAATATTAAGTCGAAAACATTTTTATTGCTTGACAACCTAATTTACCGCTACTGTGTTAAACCAAACAAAAATGTATATATATATTTATTGACTATTTAGCCCTTGATAGAGTCCCGTTTCCTGAAAAAAAAAAACGATTAATCCAAGCTCATTATTCTTTTTATTAGATTACCTTTAATCGTTTAAATAGATTCGTTCATTAAGGAATGGGTTTGGGAAATAGAAAATGACCACTATGATCAATCAAAATAGTGCGGTTTACTTTCCTCTCATTTCTCTTAATACCCATCGATATTATGTAATATTCTTACATTGTTAGTCTCCTCATTTTTGTATTTCGTTTGCTTTTAAACTGTAATATTTCTTCAAGACATATTAGCTTGAATTCTTCTCTATTACTTTCTTTTTCAAAAGAGAAGTTTCCTCCGAATTGGGCGAGCAAGCAAGGTAATTGTAAAGCTAACTTTGAAGTTTATTGAAACAAAAGATGATAAAGACATATTTCGATAGTATTGTCCGATTTTGGTTTAAAGATATTCAAATTATGATTTATACTATCATCTTTGTAATGATTTTAATGAACTTCTTCCCCTTTTATTTAGTGCACTTTTTTAAATCATAATATAACATTATACGAACTATTCAATGTTATTAGTAATTGTTTGAGACTATTTTTCACCCTTCTTAATGCCCTTTTCTGTGTAAATTATCAATGTTTTCTGTATTTCCTGTTCTTAGTTGTTTACTTATATTTTTTTACAAAGGGAGGTTTCCTTCGAATTGGAAGATCAAATAACAATAAAAAGGTAGAGAGCAGACATTTCTTTAATTTGTTATATTCATCATAACATTAATTTGGTTTTTACTTATTTCATTCAAATATTGTGAACCAAGCAATAAGGACCAGATTTTACAACAAAAAAATCTTATCTTTAGTTTTTTTCCTTTACTAAAATTAAATCCTTCTTTTATTGTTGATGTAAATGATTCGTGTACAGTTTCTTTGTTAATTTAAAATGTCATATTTCATATGTAATCGAGTGATTAACAAAGCTATGTCATGTTTTCAAATTTGAAAAACTAGAATTAAAACAAATTACTCAAGACGTTATGATCTTTTTCTCATTGTACATCACCTTTATTTCTCTTCATCTTCTATTCTTTTCTGTAGCCGAGTTTTCTGAGATTTGGTCGAGCAGATAAGGTAAACTACTTCTTCTACATAAACCATTCTCTTTCTTTACATTTAAGCTTTTCATCTGATTAATTTTAAACAAAAGCAAGTGTCTCTTTAAACTATATAGATGTAATTGAGTTGGTATCTGTTAAAACAATACAAGTGATAATTGGTTAAATGACAATTCGTAAAAGTTTCTGTTGTGTCCTAATCATATACATATCGTATAGATAAAGTTATTATGTATCAGGAATGTAGTACTCTGGACTTGCTGTACCTCTAAATTCTTTTTCCTTTCTTCCTTTTTTCCAAAGCGGGCCTTTCTTAGAATCGGAAGACCTGATGAGGTAACTTGATATTATATAATTAGTATAATAATGATAATCTATTACAGCATATAAGCGTGTTGTTGTTTTAGCAATTAATATGTTGATTTGTATTCAAGAAATAATATCGGTCCCAAGCTTTTGTTTATTGACTTTGAACACCGGTTTTGTAGTTTTGTTGCGTAGGAATTGACTGCGAATGCCTTCGTGGTTAATTATTGTCCATCAAAACGACAAAAAAACGGTATTTAATAGCCGAACAACACCGCTGAGACCGATATCATTTTGATTCTAACAATCCAAAACAAGGGAGATCTTTACCAGCGGATAATATTTCCACCCCCGATTTTCGTATAAGATTGTTATCTTTCGCACCCTACTGTCGCAAAGGTGTTAACATTTTTTATTAAACAAAATAAATAATAAGAAAAGTAAAAAGAAGTTTTACCTTATTATTCAAGATTAGTTTTATCAATTTTTCAGCAATTTAAACTTGCATGTCCGACTGGATTGTATTGCGTTTCATTGGTGCTCGATTCTTCTTATTGACAATATCTAAAGGCATGCTAGAATTTTTTAAGCATGACAATATTATATTCGAACATTACAATTTATGTAATTGCTTTAACTATTGTTGTAGTTTCATAAATTTTAAGTTTTACAAACTTAAAAATCTTTTTTCTTTACTTCTGTTGGCAATTTATGATTATACGTTCTATAAATACGACATTATGGAACCGTTAAAATTTGGTATAAAATATCTTTTACAACAGGGTTATATTAAAATATATTCAAAGATAATGTTCGCCATGAACATCTGAGGTGAAATGAATAATCCAAATGGAATTTGATTGAAAATTGGAAGCTTTTAAGGAAACTATTCTTTGTAAACATAAGCATGTTAAGGCCTCAACAGAGGTCGGTTTAGTTGTACAACATTAATTAAGGATAAGATTAACAATTTACAAAGCAATATAACACTTGCATTCAGACCGTAATTCTATATTGTATGAATTATCATGTTTCCCCTCTAAATAGACCCCTTGTGGTATTATAACTGGAATATCTGTAAATGTTATAATAGTTGGTATTGACCAATTAAGGAGTTTTTTTATGAGGTAGACACAAGATTCGGTCGTAAATAGCAGGGATGAAGTATTTACGTAGGAAATTACCGTGTACTTCTGGGATAACGGAAAAACTGATCCCTTCCCCCTTCAGGTTTTACGTTGAAGAATTATTTTGTCTTCATGAGCTCTAAATAATCCCAGCAAGGACAACTCCTTCATTTTTCAAAACTTCTTAATCTGTAATCCTTTTAGAGTAGTTGGGATTTGAACATCCATCAAGTCCGGCTACGCAAATTATTTCAACATCCTCTTTACTCCATCTTACTCATTTTTACATTTGTCCCCTAATCTTTCTTGAATTCCATTCATTAAGCACATGATTAGGTGATAATGTTTTGAAATATGTCACTTTTAATCGTGGGAGGTCTGTACAACAAGAACTACAAAATAAACATGTTTTATCCTTATCCATATTAAAGTTTTACAAAATCAAGAAATAGTACCCTTCACACATTAAGATTTTCTTGTACATCAAAATTTTAATTTCTGACGTACTTCTACATCCTACCGTGTGTTAACACAATTACGATAATAATTATTTTAAACTGTTTTATATTTTGTCATTATAGTCATTTCTAAGAATTGGGAGATCAAATGAAATGACAGACGAAGATGCATTTGAAGAAACTGGAAATCAAAATATTGATGAAACAGTGGTAAGTACATTTAAAATGGTAAATATCAGGTCAGTTGATTAAAAAAAACATAATTTATAGAAAACGCCCATAGTTTAACATAGATGTTTGGTTTTTGATGGACTTAAACTATATAGATAACTTCTGTTATCAGAAATGGTATAATGTTTGGATTGCTTGGCTTGCTTGTAAGTCTTGTCGCGAAAAAAATGACATATTCTATTAGACATATCTTCTCTCCACGGACCAGTTCTTAAAAAAGCAAACAATAAGAAAAAAACAACAACAAAAAACTTAAAAGATAAATATAAATAAATCACAAGAAAAATATATAATAATAAACAAAACAATGTGTTCCAGTTTCAAGATTTATAAAGGTATATACATTATGGCATAGGCTTTAACAATAAACAGTCGTATTAAAGCATTTACAATAAATACAATCATATGTACAAATAGGAAATACTCATCTAAATAAGAGAAAAATAAAAATATATTAATAAATTTCAAAATCACTTAACAGTTAGTATCAAAATATAAATATTAAAGATTGAATTGTTTCAAACTTTTTTTCATGACAGCTTGATGACGTAACTGATGCAAGCTCTAGCATGGACAAACGAGTAAGTTTTCAATAAAAAAATGTATAGGAAGAACAATACTGTTACAAACTTTTTTATCATGAAACCAATTTTTCTATTAATTTAAGCGATATTTCAATTATATAACTTGATTATCTCTGATCGAACAAATTGCGAAAAAGAAAACTTCGCCCTAAATATCAATTATAATGTTACGCTTGTTTTATATATTTCCAATATTTCCAATGAAATTTTTTAGGTCGCTTAAATGGTTTGGTTTTAATTGTTTCATTAATATTGTTATGTAATAATAATGACGTAAAATAACTTATTAAGCGCTGCGACACATATTTTCGATATGCATCTTACAGGGCCTCCGAATCGGTAAACGTGTGCTAGGTGCCATTAACAAGGTAATGTCTGAATGTTGTGTGACTTATATTAGTTCACTTAAAAACGGAATTTAAATATACAAAAAATGTTTATAACACAAAACTCTTTATATAGTCGTTGGCACAAAATTAAATAAGCAACATTTATTGAAAATATAAATAAACACAATCAATTTGCTTATCCTATTATTATGAATTTATTATTAAAACAATCATTTATGCTTATTATTTGCTTTATAACAAAATCATATTTCAACAAATGTATAACGAGACTTCCAACGTATTGAAACACTATCTTTTAAGCTGCATGGTACAATCAAAATGAATGTGTGAAATGCTCATATTTCAGTTAATGCAAAAAAAACTCCGTATTGTTTCTTTACAACTTTCCATATCATTGAATTGTTTGCTAGCGTTGATAGTTAAAACAGTTGTGTTTAACTTAGATAACATAATTCTTGTAATATTGAATATTTATATCCATATTAAAACCAAATAAATTTCATTCAGGAAATTGTGGGAGGTCATGTCATTTGATAAAAAATGATTGAAGTATTAGATGAAAGAAAGAGAATAATTGATTGCAAATATGAAATTAAAAAAGAGCACTATCACCATATTTGCATTATTAAAATACAATGTTTACATTTTGTTTTGTATAACAGCATTGTCAATAAATTACATTCTATAATTACAAGAAGACAATTGAGGCCTGATTATTTAGCTTTTTGAATGAAATACGACCATTTTAACTGTATATGTGCAATTTGAGTAGCACAATCATGGTTTCCTGTGAGCATTTGTCATTGCAAATATACCCCCAACTGGTTCATGCTACCTAATTCTTTTGTTGAATTAAACTTGTCAATTTTAACTAATTGGCTTTTAATTGTCTTTCATCCCACAAGGGAAAATATATAAATCTTCAATCGATTTCAAAATACAATTGAAAAATCATTCAGCTAATTTTAATTATTTGATTCAATCATTTATAAAACTATGCGAATTGTTTTATTGTAGGAAGAATCGAATGGACTTACAACCGAAGAACTACAATTGTTAATGGCAAATAAGGAACTGCTATTGCAGTATATGGAAGCACACCCGGAACTGTTCGATGGAAGTCAAAATGAAGATGACGACGTGAGTCTGCGCATGCTCAAAGGAATTTTTGTCCTTCTTTCTATACCACTCATACATATACGAAATATGCATGTAAACTTGTAATTGGTATCTATGTCTATATAAGAAACGTATATTTAAAACATGTGGTTTGTACAATTCAGCAGACATTTTCACAAAAAATCTTACGATACTTTTTTGTCGTAAGAGAAATCTTACGATAAATCTCCTTTTCACAAAATCTTAAGAAAATTTTAAGTGCAAAATCTGTCGTAACTTTACGATAGGTCTTCCCTGTTCGTAAGTGTATTTTCTTCTCTCTTATGGGTAAAATATCATTTATCTCTTACCTAAACTGAATAAAAACAAACAAAAAGTTGGAGGACAACTAAATATTAAGCAAACAGTATGCTATAAATAACACAAATTGAGGTATAATTATTTTTCAACATATACATTTGTGACGTCATGACTTGATGACGTCACGATGGAGAGGGTTATGAATAGTTTAAAATAATGTGAACTATACTGTAAACTAGTATTATTGAAAACTTATAATTTGTACAATTGGTGAGTTCGATTTCATTGCCAGCATGTACTAGTGGTACCTTTTTATTTATTAATAACATAGTAGACCTTCTTTCTGAACATTTTAGATATATATAATTATCTTCAATCAAGATATAAATTATATCAGTTTGAATCATTTTTTTGTTCTAATTGAAATTTGATTGTGTTCAATAGATACTCCAAGCTCTTGATTACTTGATTTTAAAACCGGAATCAAATATAGAGCATGCACATCACTATCAAATGAACGTTGCTAGGGATGTTTTTGTCGTAAGATTTATCGTAAGTGAATTTTTTATCTTAAGATAAAATTTTAACTTACGAGTGGCTTTGTGAAAATGACTTAAGATTTAACTTACGATTATCGTAAGTGAAAAACTTAAGATAAATCGTAAGATTTTTTGTGAAAATGTCTGCTGTAATCTACCTTTGTATTGATTTAAAACTATTGTTGATGCTGTTTGAAAATTTTGTATATTTCATACTTGGTAGGCCTAATTTTCTCGGCATAGATAAAACAAAGCCTTTTTAATAAATTCTTTAAGAAAGGCCCTATAGTTAAGTGGAATTCATTACTTGCCAAAATACTTATTATCGGTCACCATCTTGTTTTTTTTATGAAATATTTTTTTATGATAAATAGGATATTGAAATAAAAGCTTATTTAAAATGTTAATATGGATATTTTGATCTTTATTGAGAGTTCTTCAGAAATGCATTTACCTATATAAAGAAACAAAATGTCTTTACATATATGCACCTTTTCACTGTGTAATCGTGTACAAAAAACAATATAGCTGTGTTGTTTGTTATATACTTGTGAGTGTCAAATGTTACTTTGTTGATACATGTTTATGCCTATATTACTTATCTAATCATTTCTTACTTAGTAAAGCATGTATATTTGGGTGATGGAATTATATGACTCCGAGAAAGAGAAAGACAACACCTTTACAGTCAGCGATGCAGTGGTATCTAGAAAACAAAAATCTCTGAAAAGTATCTTGAAAAACGACGACATTTTAAATGATGTTATTAAAATAGATTATTTAGAATGTTATTCTATTGATGTCAAAAATCTGTTTATAACTTTATGTAGCGTTAAATTTACTTCGTATGTAACTAATGAAAATAACAATATTTGCATAACAAAATGCTAGTTGTAAGAAGTAGTTGTTTTATGTAGCAAACTGTTTATAGAATTTATAAGAATTTTCCTTTTAGATGGTGTAAGATGATCGATACTTTGATGACGTCATTAGAGACATTACGTGATGACGTCATTAGAGACATGACGTGATGACGTCATTAGTGGCATGACAGCAACAGATGAACTAAATATGTGTTTTGATATAAGTCGTGTTTAAACGACTTTAATGCACTACAGAAAAGACATTATTTTATTTTATTTTTATTTTATTACAACTGCAAAATAATTTACAATTTACAATAAATATATTTAAGTACTTTTTTGTTTTGAAGTGTTATAGACTTAATTGATAAACGAAGTTTATATAGATAATCGTATTCCTTTTAATGTGGTAAAAACATGACTGCTAACATGTTCTTAATATCATTTGTGTTTGTTTGTTCCAGGCATATTTTGCCTTTCCAAGACAAGGAAGAGCAATGGTATGTGTATAATACAATATAATATCATTGATATAGTTTAAAAAATTAAATGATATGCAATTTATGTGTTTATTATGTTGAAATAAATTGCACTTTTGTGTGTTCTTTAAGGATTCTGTTTTTTTTTCCTATTGTACACCATTACAAACTTAAAAATGTGACTTGAACTAAATAGACCATGTAATTAGAATTTAACTTGTGATACACTTACGGTTTAATATATATACATTTAAAAACTTAATATTCTATACATTATGTTAAGTTGTCATTAACGTATATTTTTTATTCAGTTTTTAAATATCACAGTGATATGTTTGGTCTTGATACCATCATTTGTTTTTTTTAGAGTTTCTATTTTCCACGAATGGGACGCTCAGGTGAAGACAGTGCCGACTCCACATACTGTTGCGCAGAAGGTGTGCGCAAAGTATTTACAGTAGGAAAAGGGTCCATAGATATCTGTTCGAACGAAAAGTCCTGTTGTTCAGGCTTAAGTGAGCAAACAAAAGTATACAAAGACATTGTTATAACCGAATGTGCCGAGGTATGAATAAATTACGTAATTTTTGGATAATTCTTCATATATACTGCTGACGTTCCGATAGTTTAGTAGATGGTATTGAATGAGTGAAGGTTCAATACTAAATGTATTGAACGAGTTGAATAAAATCATATCATGCGAGCCTCTGATGAGCAAAATATTATTTTATGCAACAAAATTAATAAATTCAGTAATGGACCTACACGAATATAATGTTCTATTTATCACATACCAAAATAACGACTGTTTAAAGTGAAAAGAATAATTTTTTATTGATGCGTCTACACTGTGACGTTTACATTTTAGCACGTTTTTACACTATGTTTGTATAACGCAAATGACGTAACATCAAAATATATGCACGGCCGTGCAGTACCATTTGTACGGAGTGATGCGAGTATGAGATAGATGTAAATATGTAAAAAAAGAAGACATACTCAAATGCAACCAATAATATGCCTGTAATTTGAATGTTGAAAAGAATAGTAAAATGAGGTTTATTCTGATTTTTCACTTCACCATTTTGTTGGTTATGAATATTCATTATATCTTATCATTTCAGGAAAGTGGCTTAGACAAAATAAGAGCATACATCGGTGACGAATAGAAAGGCAGCGTCTTCAAGATGTTGACGTCATAACGAGAACTTATGACGTAATAATGACATCAGAAATTAACTATTTTAATAAAATTTGAAATCAGTTTGACACTATGCATGGCTCATAAGTTAAAATCATATCATCAGATACACAGTGAATTTATTAAAGTAACAATTATAAATCAATAGAACAGTGTATTAATTTTCTGGAATATTGTTCAATGAAATATATTAAAATTTCCGTGCATATGTTAGAATGGCGACAGACTATACTATTTCTATCATAATAACATTTTAAGAAAACTTATCTCTAAAATAAATAATAAAAAAACTTTGTCAGTTGCTTAAAAAAAGGGTTGAGTTGCTTTTTGATAAAGATTTTTTTTTGTTATTTTGTTCAAGCGTTTGTTGGAATATGATTATGGTATACCCGCCAAGAATATTATATAGAAGTGTGTTATTTAACAATGTTTGTGTGCTTCATGTCGTACACTGTCGTTTCTAAAGTAACTGTAAACAAATTCTGTCATTGCTTATAAAGACAATTAAAAAACAAATTTCGTTTTACAACTGTGTTTTCAAAAGACTTCATATTTATTATATTTCTTGATGTGTTAAACTAAATAAAAATAGAGAACGAACCTAAATAGTTTGTATTTTGTGTTAGGTCCTGCAACCATTGCTTTTATTGCAAAAAAATTGGAGAAGTCAAATATTAAGCTCATCGATTTAAACCAGTGGAAAATTTATCATAACAATAAAGTATGTATTACATATGATAAATTCAAAAAGAAGACAGTAATTAGTTACCGGTTTATCATTTTCTACTTTAAAATACGTTAACGGAATTGTTAAATTGAATGAGAAGAACCATAAAGCACCACAATTAAAACAGTTAATCTGGCGATCATTCAATCATTTTTCATACACTCAGATTGTTTTACAAAAGCCACTTATTGATTGTCATTTATAATTTATAATCTATATCCTATTGTTTTGAACAAATCCATTTTAATTTTCATATAAAAGTTTCCAAAGTCTACCCGTTACTGTGATAATGGGACAATTACGCGATTCTTTTAGAAAAGAAATCCTTTAACAACACATTTGACATACAAATATCAAAGTAATATATCCAGTGCATAAAACAATACAAAATGAATGGGATCTGTGAATGGGATCCGAATTGAATAGTTAACTAATCAGTGCAGGAATGAAAAAAAATCTGGAAACAAAGTGATCCCTCGGAAGCATTAATCACAACAAAATTACATGAAAATTGAGGACTCGGTTTGATTGAGTCTGTACATGAGGGAAATGAATAAGTGCAACATCCCTCACGCCCCCTAGCACCGGCTTGTACTTGAGCGGTACTCAATTTTCAACACTTAATAGTGCTGGTATCATAATCCCGAACAACCAGAACAATATAACAATGAAAAATGAATTGAAATACAGAAATGGAAATGGAAATTATTTCAGTCAAGAGCGGTAACTAGAATAAATGGAGACATTAGGGCTATGAAAGGATGTGATTATCATCTCGCTTCTACAATGATGTCAAAAGATGCAATTTACTGAAAGGTTTCATAGAACGGTCAAGTATTGACTTAAAATGATGCAAACTACTTCAGATAATTATGTTATATTCTTAAGAATTATCACCATATTCAGAAAGACATAGAAATGCGTCTGCCAATAGTCCAGAAACCGTAGCAGGTAATGCAAGATCGTTTTGAAACCTTTAAAAAGAAGAAAAATGACGACAAAAACTTCTTTGCAATCATTGTAAAAGACATATTAAAGTTAGGAAGAAGTGTTTTATCATAAACGATAAATACTTCGTCATAAATACATTAAGAACATCTGTTGTCCTTCCTTTATCCTGTAAAAGAGGGAACATTGATGACACTGAAACAAACAAACAAACAAACAAACAAACTAACTAACTTACTTACTAACTAACTAACTTACTAACTAACTAACTAACTAACTAACTAACTAACTAACAGTCAGCAAACGCTGCATATCCTGTGTAAATAAAATATTAAAGGCATTCCATCACAAGTATTAATATCCAGTCAAGGGTAGATTTACATTTTTCCTGAAGTCTTTTGCCTTGCATTCAATCTATTGTATATTTACAAATATTTTGAGAAACATTAGTATGTTAATTATTTACATAATCATAACAATTTAATAGAAATTTATTTCAAATCAGTCCTTTAAGGACCTAAACTTAAAAAAAAAGATTATTTCAAATCAATAATTAAATGACCTGAACCCGCCGATACTTATCTCTAAAATAGAATGAAAATCATAATAATTATTGTTTCATGTCAAAGAAACACATGAATGAGTATTATTTGTTATTATACTGCACGTTTGTAATGCTGAATTTCATTTGACAATTATGAAATCTCATTACGTATATCTATGACTGTTAGGCTATTTTCTATTTTGATCAACGAAATCATGATGATTTATAACAAAACATTTAGAGTTGAGGATTGAATATATTCTTAAAGCTGTGACTTTAGGCGTGAGAGATATTGCAACTTACATTATCTTTTGAACAACATACTCAATCACACCGAGTCTTCAATTTTAAACTTTTAACTGTTGCTTTCATTTCTCTCAACGGATCTCTCCCATTTCCAGAATTTGCGGAATTGTGGAAACTAATTTATTGCATTGCATTTAAGTGATATAAACGCTACACTAAGATCAAATATGTTTTTTTCATGAGATTTTCGAACAAATGATTTGATTTATTCAAGATGTATTCATGAGAGATAATTGACCTTAATCAAAATACGACTGAGTTTTGAGATAATTGTAATAATGATTGTAAATATGATGTTTAAAAACAAACAGGCAACATATTTGCGATGCAGACATATTTACAGTTCTCTTGGTAACAGAAAAGTCTATTAATCACTTTTTGTATCAAAAGAAGACAGATAATTTTATTTCAATACCTATTTTAGCATTCGGTGTAAATGCTATAATTTAATATACCATTTGATTATGTAAGCATTTGTTAGTGTATATTTACCTCAATCTTTTTAATTTCCTAATATGCAGGTCTAGTAAGATAACATTACTTTTAAAGCTAAATGAAAAATGAACCGAATGGATATCAACTGCATTGATTCATATTTGTCGATTTTATACTGTAAAAAATGATAGAAAAAATGAAATAAACATTGATTAAGAGAAAACAGAAAATAAATAGAGACCACACAAACGTTTTAAATCAGATTATTTCCCTTAAAGATAATTTACGGACAAAATTTTAGTTGAGCAATGAGCGGTGTATGTTTTCTTCCGTTTTTGATTTTGAATGGTACAAAATTGAATATAACCAAGGCGACATTTTAAAGCAATTTGTGGAGTGTAGCAATTTTGTTGGAGTGTAACCATGCATTATTTGTGTGTTCTTTATTCCAATCAACTTAAACGACATATTGATAAAAATTGTTTTCAGGAACGATGCCAACATATTTTCAAAGGTTTGATTATCTGTGATTATCTGCAAATATGAAAATTTATAATAAAAAACAGAAAACCGAACAAACAACAACAAAAGTTTTTCTCAGGAGGTTAATTTCAAATTTCAAAAATCCCTTTTCAATCAAATAAGAACTTTTCGTTCCACATTCTCTTTAACTTTTTCTATGTTTAGCATCATACTTGCAATATACATAATAATGCAAAGAAAGGAACGATATGAATTTTAATGAAAGATTCGATTGTCTGCATATATGAAAATTTATAATGCAAAAGAAACCACCAAAATCTAACAAAACAAAAACAACAGCAAGGGTTCTTCCAGGAGGTTAATTTTAAATACTTTTAATCAAATTAAATTGGATAAAATAGATTTTTATTAATATTGTCTTTCACCTTTTTTACGTCAACAGCCTATTTGCAATACACATAATAATGATTAATTTTACAAAGTTTTTTTGTTTGTTAAGTAATCATAAAAGAATATCCCCCAAAAAAGTTTGTTCAGAAACCTTTGTTTTTTCAGGGGTAAGGAATAGCAGCCATTGTTCTTTTACTACTTTTTATCTCGTCCAAATGAGACATTACCTCAAATAAATACCTTGCTTGGGTACGATATGAGCACGAAACTAAAGCAGTGTAACAATACGATATGTAAATCATACAGTTCAGTTTATAATTAATAAGCATTTATTCAATTCCTTTTTAAGGGTTCAAATAATAATCCGTTATCCTTTATTTCATTATATAAACATATAACACATAATACGTTTAAAATACCACATAATTTAAGTAAATATATTTTATGATAAATTCCAAAGATATTAAGATTAATGCTCGTGAAAACTAATGATTTACGTATTGTACATTATGAAATGCAATGATATTACCATATTTGTCCAAGGATCATGTTATCTAATTAATATGTGAATGAATCTGATTATTTCGTAGTCGCATCACTTCACAAAACAACAAAATTTCAGACCAAAGGAAAAACAACTAAACATATATTTCAGAAATTAAAAAGAAACGCGAATACGAAATATTAAGAGAACATTGCAGGAAAACAAAACTATTTCAATGATTTAAGAAAGTATAATAAGTACATGTTACAGATGCAAAATGTTGTCTACAGGAAGGTATATTGAAAAGGTAAAATGTTTCTATTGTGAGCAAACTATGAAAATATAAACCAGAAAACATGTCCGATATTTTGGAATTTATGAATATTCTAACATGAATGTTATCATCCGATAATATTCATATGAATAATGTAAAGTAATCCAATCTGACTTTAAATTGTGTGGCAGGTATCCTGTACAATTAATATAAAACTTGAAATAATTAAACATTCAAAAGGTCGACTTGATGCATTAATCATGAACATGAGGATGTCCCATGTGGCGGAATGTTTATGATTTATCATTTCACATTTTTTATACATTTGTTTATAAAAGTTAACTTAGTGATTGTTTTATAATCCAATTATAAGTTAACAAAAGGAAAAATGAAAAACAATCTGCATGATATCTTTTATAACAGCTTACTCGCGTGCTGGCTTTAATTCGTTAGCGCATCAATAACTTTTGTTGACAGTAGTTCAGCAGGTATCCTGGTGTCATTGGAATGACATGCTTAACAAATAATGAAAGAGAAAAGAATGTCAATGAATCACATTGATTCTAGCACACAAAAGGGATTAATGAAATATTATACCATACGTTCCCAACAGAGCACAATGTGTTAATTAATAGTTTGTCTATGTAGACAATTGTCATTTTAGAAAAAAAACCTATTTAGATAAATCAATTGCCGTCCTGTTCATTCGTGTTTTCACTTGATTGAAACAACATAGTATGATTTTGTTTCGCAAATAGTACGTTGTTGTTTCAAAGGACATTCGTATGCGACAGCGAAATCTGCTTTTTGTTAATAAATAGCTGGTAGATTGACATAATCGGAAAAAATGCTTACTACAAGTAATTGAAGGAGCACCTAACATAAATGTATTACACTGACTCAAGGAAATAATAAAAGAGTAAATAGAATACTTTGTGTTTATAAATCGTTTTAAAGTGTAATAATGTGAATAATATATAATTATTGTGATAAAACAAAGCAAATTTTC